AACCTTCGAAAAGCATCCATTATACGAGTTATGGCGATACTCCCGAACTCCCGCCCCAGTACTGGGTGGCGTCGATGTTATCTCACCAACAACTGCATAAAAGAGATTTTTGATGTCAGTGAAACTCAGGTATTCCAGAATCTCAAAGATAAAATTGTGACGACAACACCTCCGAGCTCAACTCCCCGGGACACTGCCACAACCCCTAAATGTTAGGAGGCACCAAGAACAATGTTCTCGTCACAAAACCATCGGAACAATTCCAATATACCCGCGTGATCCTAAAATTGTTTTTAGTGAAATTTGAGAAGAGAAGAGTCAAAACTCTATGCCAGGATGCCTCACCAGAGCGATGAAGGGACTGAGGAGTAAAAAGAATCCTACTCTCTGATATATATAATCCTAAATGACTCAAAAACATTTTTCTAGACTCAACAACGCCAGCGATTCGATCAAGCAGGGGGCTCCTAAGTTGGGGAAGGCTCTAATTACCAATTTGTAACGCCCACGATGCGGCTATATCTCCCACGTGTCAAAGCACGACTTAGAGGCATAACCGCATTGTAAGCAATGTCGCAAGTGAGCTAATCTTCACACAACCATGTAATACATAAGGGAAAAAGATACATAGTTGGCTTACAATCGCCACTTCACACAATTGCATGAATAAAACATTACATTCATACAGATACACTCAAGGTCCGACTACGGAACCAAAATAAAAGAAGACTACGCCAAATGCTACACAGATCCCCGATCGTCCCAACTCGGCACCACCACTGATCGACTGAAACAAAACAACACAATGGACAAGATCTTCATCGAGCTCCTCCTTGAGCTCGGTTGCGTCACCTGCACGATATCATGGGCACCTGCAAACTGGTTTTGGAAGTACCTGTGAGTCACGGGGACTCAGCAATCTCACACCCTCGCGATCAAGACTATTTAAGCTTATAGGTAGGGTAAAAGGTATGAGGTGGAGCTGCAGCAAGCGACTAGCATATATGGTGGCTAACATACGGAAATGAGAGCGAGAAGAGAAGGCAAAAGCACGGTCGAGAATCTATGATCAAGAAGTGATCCTAGAACAACCTACGTCAAACATTACTCCAACACCGTGTTCACTTCCCGGACTCCGCCGAGAAGATACCATCACGGTTACAGACGCGGTTGATGCATTTTATTTAAGATAAGTATCAGGTTTTCTACAACCGGACATTAACAAATTCCTATCTGCCCATAACCACAGGCACGGCTTTCGAAAGTTCAAATCCCTGCAGGGGTGTCCCAACTTAGCCCATCACAAGCTCTCATGGTCAACGAAGGATATTCCTTCTCCCAGGAAGACCCGATCAGGCTCGGAATCCCGGTTACAAGATATTTCGACAATGGTAAAACAAGACCAGCAAGACCACCTGCTGTGCCGACAAATCCCGATAGGAGCTGCACATATCTCGTTCTCAGGGCACACCGGATAAGCTAAGCGTATGGGAGCCAACGTAACCCAAGTTTCCAAGGGACGGCCCCTCACGGTGCTCTGGGTTGGACCAACACTTAGGGAAGCACTGGCCCGGGGGGTTAAAATAAAGATGACCCTTGGGCTGGCCGACCCAAGGGAAAAAGAGGCTAGGTGGCAAATGGTAAAACCAATGTTGGGCCTTGCTGGAGGAGTTTTATTCAAGGTGAACTGTCAAGGGGTTCCCATTATAACCCAACCGTGTAAGGAACGCAAAATCAAGGAACATAACATCGGTATGACGGAAACTAGGGCGGCAAGAGTGGAACAAAACACCAGACATAAGGCCGAGCCTTCCACCCTTTACCAATTATATAGATGCATTAATTAAATAAGAGATATTGTGATATCCCAAAAAAAATAACCATGTTCCAAACATGGAACAAGCTCCAATCTGCACCTGCAACTAACAACGCTATAAGAGGGGCTGAGCAAAGCGGTAACATAGCCAAATAACGATTTGCTAGGACAAGGTGGGTTAGAGGTTTGGCTTAGCAATATGGGAGGCATGATAAGCAAGTGGTAGGTATCGTAGCATAAGCATAGCAAAAGAGCAAGCATCTAGCAAGCAAAGATAGAAGTGATTTCGAGGGTATGGTCATCTTGCTTCAAATCCCGCAAGGAAGAAGAACAAGTCCATGAAGAAGACAAACAGACGTAGTCGAACGAATCCTCACAACGCGATGTTAACGGAACCAACCCGAAGAAGCAACACCGGAAAGAAGCAAACCACATAGTAAAACATCCACCACATAAACATGGATGATGCACAACCAAGTATGATGCATGTCCGGTTTAAAGATTCATGACATGGCAAAGTGCACAAGCAAAACTACAAGTTAAGTGGAGCTCAATATGCAACGAGTTGCATATTGAAGAAACACCACAACAAGTTATTTAGTTCGATCTCGTTTATGTACCCAACAATATTAAATGTTGATTAACATGGCAAGAGGTGAAGCAAAGTAAAACTACCTATCTAGTCAAGTTTAAATGAGGCCGGAAACAACGAACAACAATTCCGAAAAATCCTCATATGCCTATACTAGGTTTGGTACTATTCTGCCCTAAACCATATTTTATAGTTGTTAAACATGCAAAGTGATGCCACCAAGTTAAGCTATCCATTTTTCTACCCCATTTACATATAAAGTTTGTTAGGTTTGGAGCTACGGTTATTTAGTTATGAATTAAAGCATTTTAGCATGACATAGGAGCAAATTTAAACAAACAACATTTTAAACATAGATGAAAATGACATATTATGAAACTAGACACAATTTTAAGCATTTTTCATATATAAAGTTTTTACATGTGATTCTTAGTTATTAAGTTATTATATGCATGAACTATGAAGGGTTTTCTGCAAAACATCATTCCCTGGAAAATTAGGCAAATCCCAGAGCCTAAAAAAAATACTCTGGGCCGAAACTGCTGGCCCAACAACAGGAAGAAAGAAAGAAAAAAAGGTGGGGCGCTGGGGAGCTTCTCACATCGGGCTTGACTGGGCCGGATTGGATCTGGAAGGGAGCAGGCCGGGCCTTAGGCGCTGCGGCTGGAGAGGCGTTGGGCCTACGCGCGGCGCTGGATGGGAGGTTGGACTTCCGACGGGGTGAGGTTGGTCCACGCGCTGACCCACGGTCAACACGACCACGAGAGCGAGCGAGCGGGAGGCTTGGCGCTGCGTGCGTCTCCAGGAAGAACAGGGTCACGACGCTGGTGCTGCAGGGATGCAGACGAGATGGAGGGAGGCAGACGACGCGGATCCGGCGGGGACATGCTGGAACTGGCCGGATCCAGCAGCGGGGGTGACGAACGGGCGGTGGCCATGGAGGTTGAGGTCAACGAGAGGCGCGGCCATGGCTTCAGGCTCCATGGTTCCTACAGGGGACTCGGGAATGGCGACAGACTTGGCGTGGCGCAGAATCTTGGCGGAGGACGATGAGCAGCGTTGGGCGTTCGAATCCACGGGATCGAGACGAGGCAAGGGGCTCGCCCTCGTCCTTGTGTTCTCACAGGAACAGGGGAGGCGGAGGCGGGATGCAGGGGAGCGGCGGCGGCGAACTTGGCGCTCGGGGTGACCTCCGACGACGCATGGACGGCTGGGATGGATGAGGGTCACGAATCCGGTCCCCGGAGATGGTTCTGGACGGGGGGGGGGACGAACTCGAGCTCCGGGCGCCATGGCGGTCTCCTGTTGCTGCGTGTTACAGAGAGAGATGGAGATCTTAGAGACAGGGAGAAGAAGAAAAGAGAGATGGACAGAGTAGGGAGTAGGGCGCAACAGAGGCGGTGGTGCTCATCTCAGATGAAGCTCGTCGGCGGCGACGCAAGGTGGAGGAGGCGGGTGAGCTCTGCTGTCCTCGGGGAGAACAAGTGGAGGCGCGGGAGTCTGGCTCCATGGAGGTGCTCGAAGCAGGGGATCCAGGGGCGCGGTCCCGTTGGAGCTCGAGGAAGGCAGTGGGTCGATGGATTGGCTGTAGGTGAATCGAGAGGAGAGGTGGAGGCTGCCAGTTGGGTGGATGGGCAACACGAGGTGGATCTGGGAAGATCCCGAGGGGAATGGTGAGTGGGTGGTGGCGGCGCGATGGGACAAGGGGGAGGATTTTTAGGGTTAGGCTAGAGTTTGATGTATATATAGCAAAAAGTCTAAGTTTATGGGCATTTGGACCCTTCGATCTTAATCGGACGGTCTCAGATAAATAGGCTAGGGAGATCAAATAAGAAAACGGAGACGTTTTGTAGATGTTAGGGGATGATCCAGACCCAACGGTGATGACCGTCCGAGTCGGGTTCGGGTGAGTTTCGAACACACGCGAGGGGACGATGCACTGTGCAAAGAGGGGTAGGCTGGCTTGGCGGTCGGTAGTGAAATGTGTAGAGAGGCTTGGGCTGAGAGGAGAGGAAAGAAGGCAGCCTGGCAACCGTTTCCGGAGACCGAAAACGTTCGACGTTTGACCGGCTATACTGCCGCTATAGTTATTCGTTGGGTCATCAAACGGACTCCGAACGCGATGAAATTTGGCAGGCAGCCTACTGACAACAAAACAACACCACACGCCAACTTTAAACCCATTCCGAGAACATTTTTCGGCCACTTATAAAATAATATTTCGGACATGCCGCGGGCACGTGCAAGTGTGTCTGGGCTCAGAACGAACAATGAAGAGAACTGGGGGAACCCGGACGAATGCAAGTTTTGAAAACATGATGATGCAATGTGGATGATGACATGGCAAGATGCGACACGGAAGCAAATGACAAGGCAACAACAACGAATAACTGGAAGACACCTGGTGCATCGGTCTCGGGGCGTCACATATAGAGCCCAAAGTACAAGTATGCAAATACATGAGAGCAAGGTTACCATGTTGAAGAGATGGTGGAGACAAGGATGGTGGGAAACCGGCAAACAAATGAGAACCCATGTTGCTGAACTGAGATTTTAAGAACCACTTAACCTGTAAAGTCCTTAGATTCAGAGTTAAAACTTCCGAGTCCACCACTTCTGCCGAAGGGTCTCTGGAATAACCAGGTTCCGGAATCCCTTGTAGGAGTAAGTATCCCCAGCTACACCCACGAGCATATAGCGATAGTTTACGGGTAAACTGAACCTTCCTTGTGACAGCCACTGGTTTGCACCACCGCCATCATTTTGCAACACAGCATACCCGAGTTCAGGTGTCAAATACTCATTGGTAAACATCCCAAGCCTTCCTCCCCCTGCCTTTAGAATGACAACCTGTGTATTTCTGGTGCCAGGTGGGAGATTGACAGCAGAGAAATCCATGCTGCGTGTGTTGAGCATGATCAACTTGTTTTTGTTCGCCGGATAAAATGCCCAACAGAAGTATCCGTGTGCATAGTGGCACATTCGCGGCCACAAGTACGACTCTGGCTGGATGCCCGGAGCTGGGTTGTCCAATCCTGTGAGCAGACTGACCCAATTGTCAACTGTAACAGCACGCCATCGTCCATCAGCTGAACCTGAAGAGAAGATGAGGAGGACCAGCCTAGTTGTGCAGCGCGCCAAGCAAATAACCCTGAATGAAATGCCCTTCTCATCCTCGGCGGCCGGAGGAGCTAGGAAGGGCTCGAAATGCCCCATGTCCGACTGCTGCGCTAAAGCGGCGAGGTCGTCGGGGATGGCAGGCAGCAGGGTGTAGCACCGGTACAGGGGTCACAAACGGCCAGGTACCTGGCCAAGACGCGACAACAGAATTTGCTCCCCTCTGGGACGCCAGAGAGGAGGACGCGGCCGTCCCGCAGGTCACGCACCTGCCAGCGCTCGGCGGAGGGGATGAAGGAGCACGAGAAGTCGGCGGCGTGAGAGCCGGCGAAAGTGCTCGCCACGGCGGCGGATGGGTGCGGTGGCTGGGCCAGCTGCAGCAACGGCAGGTACCGGTGGGATCGGTGAGAAACGATGCCTAGGGGAGGCGGCGGCTGGCGGGCGCGGAAGTGGAAGCAAAAGCGGCGGAAGAAGCGGTGGTCGGTGACGAGGCGACGGAAGGAGACCCGGGTAATGGAGGCGCGGGCGAGGTCAGCGGCCGCGGGGAGGCGGAGGAGGACCTCCTCGTGAAGCTCCTCGGGTAGGGTGAGCAGCGTCATCGGCGGGGCTTCAGGACGGCCATGTGTCGACGCCATTGGGATATGGAGTGGGGGATAGGGTTTCTCTCGCTCTAGCAGCGGAGGAATATTTCAGTCGCCGCCGAAGACGAGGCTAGACTAGAGAACGAATGAACAGGGATCAAACGTGCCGTTTGATCTACAGTAGTCGAGAGAGAGGGGTACGGCGACCACTAGGTGCCGGCGCGCCGGCCGAATACTTTCGGCCGGTCCGTTCCTAGCCGCCCGATACATGCACCCATAGCCACTCGATTGGATCCCGCAATATTCTTTTTCTTCGCCGCAGGAAAAAAACATCGTCCGCTCGCATCGGGCAAGGCCGTGCCCCGCGCCCTCCCGCTGACAGATCGAAGTTCCCCTCCGGCTTGCCTCACCGCCGATGCTCGTTGCCGTCGTGCAGCACGTGCCCCCTCCCTCGTCGTCGACAGTAGCCTCCCGCGCGCCCCTCACCTATGTTGCCCACCCTCGCTCCCTCCCTCCCCGCCCCTTCCCCCTCACCCCAACAAAATCAAAGGCGACGCTGCCATGGTTGGCCGTGGTAGCAAAAATAGGGATGGTTCCAGCAAACCCAGAAATACTCGTAGTACCAAAAAATGGAGCCGGTTCCAGCAAATCAAAACGGGTGTGGTAGCAAAAAATGCAACAATTTGGCGCTGATTCCAACAAAAGATCAGAAATTATGTGGTAGAAAAAAATAAACATAGTTCCACAAAAAATTATTGGTTGTAGCAAACACTACTAGGAAAAGGCCTACTAGTGGCGCACCTGTTTTGCCTACTAATGGCGCACTACAGGTGCGCCACTACTAGCATGCCATTAGTATAGCCCATGGTGCGCCATTAGTATGCCTCCCAGGGGGCCATATTTACCCATGTGCTTTGGCATACTAATGGCGCACTTGTGGATGATGCGCCATTAGTGTGCTCTGTCTTACTAATGGCGCACTATGTGGTGGTGCGCCACTAGTATGAATATCAGGGATTTTTTTTCTTTTCTGATATTT